TTTATGCAGAAAAATAAACTGAACAACTTTTGCCTCAGGGTCACATCGAAATTCTTTACCAAAATAAATAAATAAATAAATAAAAATATATATTAATATTTGACGATATATAGCCTCCTGATGAGTCGGTCAAACTCCGACGAAACAGTTTGTCACAGCCCCTCGTTTGTTGTCCTCTTCTCCCTCTCTGCCTACGGTTTACCGGGCAGTTCTATTTGACGATATATTGTCAAACAGAGCTGCTCGGTAAGTCCATGGGGGAAGCAGATTCATCAAAGCAAACTCAAGCTTGATAGAGTGTATGTTTATCGTTTATGAACGAACATGGTTATTGATGTCTAGGCAAATGGGCTTGAAAATAGAATGGGTGAGCGAAGGAGGAAGTGTGGTAGTGGGATATATGGACAGGGATGAACGGATGCATCCATGTATCCCCACGTCTCTATATATATTTGACGATATATATATATCATATATGTATATATATATACTTACTTGCCTCCATAGCCCGATATCGTCTCTCCTCTAGTTCATCATAGCCAACTCTTCTCTTCTCCTTCCTCCCCCTTCTGCTCCATAGCCATGGAGGTCTTCCTCTCCACCCTCTAGGCTCCTCCATCTCCCTCAGTGTTCAGGTGACCACTGTTTATTTTTATCCACTTGAGTGGTCTGCAATCAGATTGGGGGAACCTTGATGATGTGGTTGTTTGGAGAGGTTTTAGGACATCTGCATCGCATCGTCTCGAGTAATCGGAGCAGCTTTGCCATTCTTATGTCCACACATATGTTTGTGGTATCTCGCTGCACTCTTCTGCGAGTCACGTGGCCGTGGTTTCAGCTTTATGGACTTGAATGATCAGGAATCAGCTTGGAGGAATCTTGTGAGCAGAGATGTCACGACGAGTTGGTTTCTGAAATTGTGAGGCGAACGCAAGCCATCGGACAGCAGCCCACCTTTTCCACCCTTGCTACTTGTGGCTTTGTCAATTGGCTTTCCACCTTTGTTCGGTTCTCGTATCAAACTGCTAAATTATATGTGTGTATTGCTCCGCAGCCATGACACTCACTGTTCTCTTATGTGCATGTTGCTCACTGTCATGAAGTTGTGGGAGTGCAATGACATGCTGCTTTTATGTTACCCTCGCTCATATGAAGTCATCGAGTTATATGTGAATTCCCATCTTGAAAACAAATGTGATGTCTGTGCTTCCTTCTTCTGGACCTGATCATGGGTGGGCTAGGTATGAGAGATATTTTGGGAAGAAAGCAGATGCGCATATTTGCGTCACAGAAGCGATGCGACAGGAGCTGAAGGATAATTGGGGTATCAGGTGGGTGAGAGAGCGTTTGTTCCACCTTTTGTGTTTGATTTTGCTGTTCACTTGTTCAATGTGTGCATTGCCCGCGGTCCGCTTGCTCCAGCTTGCTCCATTTTCTGTGGTCTCTGGCCTCCATTGTTCACTGTTCTCTGTGCTCCCCACACCCAGTTCATGCCATGTAACCTTGCCCCACCCAGCAGTTGACGTGGTGGCAGAATCGGTGGAGACGGCAGTTCGGGGCTACCATGTCTCATTTTGTGCAGTTTGGATTTGCAGAACGCAGAGTTCGGACTTGGATGCTGGAATGTGTGATAGGATTGACGCGCTGGCGCTGATCGTAAAAGCTTGCAACGTGTGCCACCATGTGTGCATGACCGTGATGGGATTGACGTGCTGGCGGTGATCATAAAAGCTTGCAGCTTGTGCCACTATGCATGCATGACTGATACTTATTCTACTGCTTATCCTCATTGCTATCCATTGTTATGATTGCAGGGCAACGGTTCTATATGACCGGGCGCCTGACTTCTTTAGACCCTCGACCATTAGTGAGAAGCATGAGGTGAGGTGATGATCATGCTCCTGGCCTGATAACCTTGGTGATCGTCGAGTGGGGTTAATTGCAAGAGGGTGGAGTGTGTTGCCGACAGCATGGGCAGCATGCATGTTGAACTGCGTGGCGAAGATAAGGTCCCTTGGAGTGCAATGCTAGGGAAAATCCCTGTGATATTGTCTGGCTAAACTCTTAGCGCATGTGTTTGCCACATGATGTGTGTGTGTGTGTGTGGAAGATTTCCACCACAACAGACCCTGTTCCACCCAGATGAGTGGATACAAAGTGAAAGCAGTTTTACCTTTATGCAGACAACGAAGCACACTTGAGACAAGCCAATCCAACAATGAAACAGTTTTACCTCTGTAGCAAGCGAAATGGAGCAGAATAGATCCGTTATATCCCTTCCTTGACTATCTTTACTTTGGTTTTCTTTGGGGTACGCGTTTTATTTGTTCTTGCAGCGCCCTGTTTTGTTTTCTTTTACGAAGAACTGACGTATCTTGCTGTGCCTCTCACGTGCAAGGCTGGCCACGTCGATTGTGGTTGAGCACCAGCTGCCCACATCCCCGTGTGCCTTAACGGCCCACTTGCATGTTATGAAAGGAGGCAGAGTAAAGTGGAAAGTACACTCTGTTCATTTTTCTTCAGATCTTCAGTTTATATTTCGTCTGTTCTCTTAGTAATGCTCATTCGTATGCCTTTACTAGAAGTACAAAAGAGGAGGTTTCTATAGAAAGCGAGGGGTGGGGGAGGGAGGAGGGGTAGAGGAGGGAAGTGGAGGGACAAAGAACAAAACAGAGGAAAGACGAACTTCACAGGGTTCTCGATACTCACTCCTGGAGCAGACACTCTAGAATGGCACAAGAGGCCAGTCAGTGTTTGGGTTGCAGGACTGTGTGTGTGGGTGGGTGGGTCGGGGGGTTGGGGAGTGGGGGTAGGAGGGGTGAGTCTAGGGTGTGTGTGTGTGCTTGACCACTAAGGGTGGCAAGCCATGCTGGTGATGACTCTTGGGCTTAGGCGTGGTAATGACTTGGCCCGCAATGTCAATCACTGGTTCGATCGCGGGCCACAAACAATCTTCGTAATATGTAAAATTTTCGGTGTCTTTGTCGCCCTACTGCCCTCGTTTCCTCCTCCCCAGTCTGTGGCTTCTAGCCCTCTGGCGTTGACTTCTTGCTCCCTTCGCTAGGCTCCTCCATCTCTCTCCTCTCCTGGGCCCCCTCCAACCCTGGCCCCTGTTCACCAGGGCCTGGGATGCCTCGTCTCTTCTCACCCATGGTACCCACAATAAACGGGTCATGGATCCCCTTCACACCGTCCTTGTCTCCCTGCCCTCCCCGTTTCCTCCTCTTCCCCTCTTCCCTTCCTCAGCCCACCGCCAAGAACCCCCCAACCCTTCAGAACCCCCCTTTCACCCTGGCCACTCCTCTGTACACCCAGGCTCTCCCTTCTCAGACTCATAGCAGCCTGAACCCACCTTTTTGTACCAGAGGAACGGGATGCCCCCACCTTCCCGTACCCTTCAGCACCCTCAACCTTGGAGCCACAACCCCCTTCTTCCACTCACGCCCCTTAATACCCAGATACCCTTCCACTTACTGACCTCAACGCCTGGCTCACTGCTCCCCTGCCACGTACACAGCATGGGCGTACAGTCTGCAAAGGACATCATGCACTTTTGTCATAAGCGAGAGGGGAATCCCAGTGCATTTCCCTTTGGTTTTCCTAGTGAGCTATGGAAGCTCATCCTTAAACCACCACTACCCCGCCCAGCTTGCCCGTGTCCCTTTGCCTGTTAACGTGGGGCTGTGAAAAGCCTCGTCCTGCCGGAGGGTCCGCATCTGTTGGGCTGGCAGTGCCTGGTAGGCCTTTTGTGCTGGGTCAGATTTGTAGGCACGGGCAAAATCACGCGTGGGGAAAATGGGCTTGGAGGTAGTGGTGGTTTAAGCTCTCTCTCTCTCTCTCTCTCTCTCTCTCTCTCTCTCTCTCTCTCTCTCTCTCTCTCTCTCTCTCTCTCTCTCTCTCTCTCTCTCTCTCTCTCTCTCTCTCTCTCTCTCTCTCTCTCTCTCTCTCTCTCTCTCTCTCTCTCTCTCTCTCTCTCTCTCTCTCGCTCTGTGTGGGATTATCACTCTTTGAATTCTACTTAGTACAAGGTCCTCACTGTTTTGGTTCAGAGAATACTTGAGAGCCTTGTCCTATGCTTGCTATTTGCTCGTGTGTCCTAGCTGACAGTGTTGCTCATTGATTGCACCAGCAAAGTTCGCATAGCTGATCATGTTCTCGATTGATTGAAGCAGCAAAGTTCTCTTAGTGCCTGCAGGCAAGTCTATTGGATTGAGCAACAAGGTACCACAAAACTTTATGAAAGCCTTCCTCCACAGATCTCTCAACGAGGTAATGTCGAGGACCGTACATGGGCATTGGCAGAGTGTTTGGAGTGCTGCCTTGTTTGTTTTTGTCGACTTAGGCCGGTGGAGAACAGCTATATACTATCTGCCCTTGAACGCAGCACATCCTCATTATGACTGTACTGGAACAGGAAGATGGGTTCAATTGGGATGAACAAAATTCAGGATGAGGTTACATGGTGTTCGGGGGAAGACAGTAGTCGCAGCCTTCACATAATGGGGACTCTCCTGGATGTATAGCTCCATGTTAATTATTCAGTCAAAAAACTATCTTAGCATCGGTGTGAGTATGGCCTCAGAGAGGCAGAGCCTCATATCTCGCCGATTATTGCCAAAATCTTTTTGTGTATTGCTGTTGCAACTTGCAAGCATTTTTTCTTCATTGTGAATTGTACTCTAAGTACTATATGGAACTTGTCTCTGTTTTCCAATGCAGCTCTTTATGCGTCTCCATGAGGACCTTGTTCAGGCCAGATATAACAGCCCCAACTTTCTTCAACTGAGTGATTGGGACAGCCATTCACGACAAGAGAGCCCCATCTCATCAGACTCGGAGACCGATGGGCTTCGAACACACCCGATTTGCAATGGCATTGAAAACCCTGAAAGCTTACAGGATGCAAGAGATACGAGGCCTCAGAATACTCGAGTTGAGAACGACGGCTCCGAGGTTGAAGATGATGATGACGGGGATGCGGTTTATGGCGTTTCTCGTCTGGAGCGGACACTGCTGACGCTGCGATCTACAACTGCGAATACGGAGCTGAAGGTGGGCACCCTTGAGGTGGAGGAACTTGATGGTGGTGGTCATGTCCAATTGAACCGTGATCGACCAGCCGTCATTGTCAGCAGCACAAGCTGGTAAGCTTTTTTTTTTTTTTTTTTTTTTTTTTTTTTTACGTCCACGTCGTCCAGGGTGTTGTAGAGGTCAGTCACTGAGTACACAGTGATCACTTGGAGCTGTGAGCCGCGGGTGTCCTGGGATATGGTGCGAATGGGTGAAAGGCTTTTGCACTGCGAACCCCCGGTTAGGGATCTGGCAAGCTTAAACCACCAGTGCTTGGCCCAGCTATTGGCCGCGGAAAAAAAAATAGAGTAGAAACGTTTCTAGTCAGATGAATTTGGGCGCTCCTGTAGTGGCCGGTACGTTTCCTAAAATTGTGGCTTGTTAACGGGCACAACTTTAGGAAGTACTGGCAAGCTTAAATAGTTGGTGGAGTGTGTGTAAGGAAGGAGTCAAGCTTAAATAGTTGGTGGAGTGTGTGTTAAGGAGTCTACGCTCTGGACCTCACTTAGCTGGTGTCTATGCTGAGCACATTCCAGTTCCTCCCTCAACTGCACCTTGTACTACCACCAACCGCTTGAGTAAATTCTGGATAGATGCATCTGGGACTAGGAGGGGTTTCTCATGAAAGACTTCTTCTTTTATTATTCGATCTCGGACCATTTGACCCAACAGTGCCAACGTTTTTTTTTTTTTTTTTTTTTTTTAATARAAAAAAMAAAAACTTACGGTTCTGGCTCCTTTTCCATTCTGGGGAGCATCAGTCCGGTTCCTATTCCACCGGCAAGTCAGAAATGATTACAAAGGGTACTCACACACGCTCCTCCCCTTTATGGTAGGAAGGCAGGAAGGACGACATTGATTACTTCCCGTGGGAAGGATATACCATCATTTCCCAACAGTAGAGTGCAGGTACCTTTTTCTTGGTGCAATGCGCATTAAAGACCATGCACAGATTCAGAAAAATGGCGAGGGCAGGCGAGGGTGTGCATGTCACCATGTTGCACCGAGAGTACAGGTTTCCTTGCACTCCCGCCCGCCTGGTTTTCTAAGGTCCACAGTCCACTGATGAAACTTATTGTTTGTGTTTTTGTCTACTACCTTCTTCCCCCGAAAACAACGTACGGTAATTATAGCTCTATCTGGGTTATCTTTCAGTCTAAATACAGCTATAATGACCGTACGTTGTATGCGGGGGAAGAAGGTAGTCTGATCACTTTTCAGCTTCTTCTCATGATCCAGCCACTATCTTAGGGGCAGTTTCTCTTTTATATGATTCTTGGGGAATCACCGATCATCTTTTTTGAAGTTTTTTCAGGCTGCTAGAACTGAAATAGCACTTTTGTGAAGTTTTTTGAAGTTTTTTCAGGCTCTGGGGTCGCCCTCTTCCACCAATACTAAGGGAGGCATGCTTGTGAATGCTATCTATGATTCTATGTCATATATATGCGTGATCAGGTGGTATAATTGATCGACGCAAGGGAAACTCACTACTTGTTATGAAACTTCGTACCTTGTCTTGCTGTAGCATATCAGAAAGTGAAATGCACTGAGAGCCTAGGATCTAGCAATGATGAAAGTGGCAACAACCAGCAGCATAGGTGCAACATCCACGGGATGTCAATGTGCACGGTGCAAAGGGTGAACCAACGAGAAATCAACAACACACATTCGTATCATTATCATCATGGGCTGGGAAGCAGCGCAGCGGAAGATTTAGTATCAAAGGACAYGTGGACAACAACATGAAAAGGAGAAAACTTCGGAAGGGCAAGACATCAGAAAGATTGCCCTTCCGCTCACACACATGGGGAGAGATCCATAGACATGCGAGAGAGAAGGGGGAGGGACGGAGGTAACCAAGTCCAACCCAAGTCTGATCTCCGAATGTCGCACACAGTTCAATCCCAATGTAGAGTGCAAGTCCGACCTAAAATGTCGTGTCCAATAGGGCAGAATGCCGTGTCCAAACAATGTCTGCAGTTACCTCTATCTCTACTCTGAGAAGAAGAAGAAGAAGAAGAAGAAGGAGAAGAAGAAGAAGAAGAAGAAGAAGAAGAAGAAGAAGAAGGAGAAGAAGAAGAAGAAGAAGAAGAACTTCGGAGGAGTAGGAGGAGAAGAGGAGAGGAGAAGAAGAAGAAGAAGAAGAAG